TCAGACGAAATAAATTTCAAACTTCGATCCCTGAAGTTTTTTTATTAAATTTCTTTTTTTTTTAGTGTTCTGGCGAAAATGCAAATTCGGTTGGTGAGGTGTGCAAATTGTTTTCGAATTGTTTCTCGTGTACTCGTAATCGTGAATGACGTTATATATATATAAATAGCGGCGTAATGGAATTCACACTACACAACAATTATTATTTTAACGCAGGTATGATTACTGATACTGAAAAATGTCTAAAAAATAATCTCCACCGATCGCAAGGACGACGTACAAATTACGTTCGTGTACGTTCACATTCGGATTAAACGAAATGTCGTGGAAATTGCAAGTGTGAATGCAGGAAGACGACTTTTCACGAAGGACATTTGGAACAGAATATTTTCGAGAAGAAATCGATCGATCGAGATCATTGGGCGAATTTTATTCCCCAAAAAAATGTTGAAATTTTCATTCATAAACTGAATATTACGAAGAGTGATTTTGAAATTTTTTTATTTACAAATAAAATTGGCCCCAACTCTCAAAACTCGATCGACTTCTCCTAAACGTTTCACCACCCCCTAACTGACCAAAAAATCTAATATCCGAGTTTCTTTATTCGTTGACAAATGTTGCACAATCGACCAAAACTTCTGACGACTTTTGAATTCAATTTTCCGCGCCATCTTTCGTACTGACATTCGTAGAAAAAATTTTGCTACTTCGAAGAACGTCTAAACGATGTAATTCTACCGCTAATTTTCGTAATTGAGCGTGTACACCAATTCATATAAAAAATATTTGCATCTTAGTAGGATCACAATTTCTTTTTTTTCTTCTTCTTACACGTGTTTGATCACAGATTTGAAAAATACCTTATCTCTTTGATTCTGATAACAGAAAACTATTAACTCCGGCTACGTTGCTATAGTTCTTTTTCTAATCATCCACGCATTCACTGTTGAGAATTATGCACGCTGGTGGGAGAAATCGAACGACGAAATCATAGTAAACGAAAACTAACAGAGCATTTATACAAATATACATTCTTTTGTTTATTATTTCAGTAACGCTAAATAATGGACGTCTTAATTACAACCTTCGTGATTTTCGAGATGTTCCCCAACAAAAAAACGGAAACAAAATCGTTCCATCGAGCTATACACGCCGGGAAACCTTTTTAACACATTACCGACCGATAGCCTATCAATCGACTGTTTTACCGGCCAACACTTACCGACCGATAGCGTATTAATCAACTGTTTTACCGACCAACGCTTACCGACCGATAGCCGATTAATCAACCGCTACCGGTCGGTAAAGTGTTAACTATAAATAATAAATACTCTAAGGAATAATAACTTAACAGACACACGATTACACCGTGTCTTTTCGAAAGTCTCAGTAGTGTTGCCAATCGAAATCAATTTTTTTTTTCTTCAAAGAATATTCAAATTTTCTTTATACAATACATAATACATCACGCAAAAATATGCTACATACGTATGTACATTTATAAAACACGGTGTCATATTATCGTAATATCGTTAAAAAAAAATCGTTCGAGCGATATTACATTAATACAACGTTATTCAACAAAAATCACTTACATCTCGTAAACGATCATTTTTACAAAAAAAAGAGCGATTTTCCCACCGTGACCGGAAAAGTTCGTTATTCTCATCGCGTTCGTGATATATCTTAACGAGAAAGTGAAAGAAACACAGTGAATGCGTTTACAGAGCAACGCGTGTTTCGATTCAAACATTGTCGATCGTTTCTGTGTTTTTTGCGAATAGAAATCTTAACACATTACCGACCGATAGCCTATTAATCGACTGTTTTACCGACCAACGCTTACCGACCGATAGCCGATTAATCGACTGTTTTACCGGCCAACACTTACCGACCGGTACCGATTGACCCTAGATTATATATCTACTTTTTCTTATAAGAATGTTAAATGAAACTTTGCGACAGTGGTTACTATATTGTTCTCTTTCTGTAATTACAGGGTAATTAAATCTAGTGATATTTGTTATTTTCATGGCAACCGATTAATAAGCTACCCGGTCGGTAAAGTGTTGAGCGGTAAAAAACTGATTTACCGGCTATCGGTCGGTAAAAAGTCGATTAATAGGCTACCGGTCGGTAAAGTGTTAATCAACTTTTTTACCGACCAACGCATACCGACCGATAGCCGATTAATCAACCGCTAACGGTCGATAAAGTGTTAACAACCTATGGAGCACAATTCCAACGCGAATCTGACGTTTTTTTTTTTCGGCAGAAAAAACGGTAAAAGCAATTTCGCAAAGTGTTGATTATCTGTATACTTTCAGAAGCCATGCAACTTCGTTTTAACAATATTTAACAATCGCTGTGAGGTGAAATTTATTGCTGGATTTTGCTCGCCACGAATCACTGCGTCGACAAAATTATTTGTTATTGCTTTAGCTTAGAAATTTAGGAGAAATATTTGAGACTAAACATTTTTCTCTCGTTTCGATAATATTGTTTTCAAGTTCAGAGTGTAATAATTGTAGAAACTAGTCAATTTATAGACAATATCGCGTAGAAGATAAAAATTTCGTCTGAATAGTATCTGATCTGATTTTTGCTTTTGAAAAATTTATGTAATTTTGATTAATGTTTAGAGTGTTTATTAGAAGTTTATTAGTCAAGAAGGTAATGAGATACGAGTAAGAGCCCCCTGTATGCCCGATTAATAAACGCAGTTCGATGGAAACTAAGAAAAATGTTTTTAACGCATTTTTGGCTGACAAGAGAATATTCGTTTGAAAATTTTGATTGGAATAAACTCTTTTTTTAGCGATTGAATTTTCGAAAGGAGCACACAAGCGACACCGCGAGGAGAGATTCGTCATAGAAAATAGAAGAATACCATTAAAGACTAGTAGTGATTGCTATTCGAATAAATCACCATCGGAATCGTAGTTCGTCGATATGTATCGATTATTGTTCGAACGTGACAGCTCTCTGATCCACGTCTACGTATTATATCACCATGTATGCTTCAATGATTGGCAAATAATGCTACGAAATAATGATTATCGTGCACCATTTCACGGACGTGGCAATTGCTTAAATATCCTTCGAATTCGAGTGAACAAAACTCGTAACAATTACCTTCATCATTCATCCTTGATCCAATTTTAATTAATAAAATTTTTCTGGATTCAAAAATAATTTTAATTCTTGAAATTTGAGTGCTTGAATATTTGTACTTAAAAAATGATATAAAATTAAATTGATCCTTTTTAAATTGAAAATAATAATTTGTGCTAAGAATTTTATGCTAGAAATAGTAATTTTTGATCGAGTTTGTTCGAGTATTGTTCACTCAAATTTTGCAATTGCAAACGAGTATAATTATTGCATATCCTCTGCTTGTACATGGGTATCGAATGGTTTGTAACCACGTGTAGTTAAATATATATAATATATGTATAATATGTATATATAAATACCAACATATGAATTTCGTAGCAATGTTATGTATAATAGTAATGTAGGACTGTGAAAACTGATATGTCATTGGAACAGTAGTATAACGTGTGTTCCATCACAAAGTGATAGAAAGTGTTCTCTTCCGCCATCTTTCCAGGATCAATTACTTCTTCGTTTCTTTTTTTTCTTTTTCTCATAGTTTCGCTTCGTCCCTCGACCTATCTTAATTTTGCGTCTTGCAGAAACTGTAGCTTTGTTGTTCGGTTCTCGACAGCTTTTTTCGTTTGTCGGTGTTCGCAAAAGCGTGTTCAAAAGACTGGATGGGAAAATATAAGGGACGCACGCTTCGATCCCCAGTGAATCTCACGCGTTATACACAGTATCTATACAAGGTGAGACATTCGAAATTAATTTGTAAGGTTGTTAATTTCACAATTTTATATGTTCGTTAAAAGTTTTCTAATACGTTATTTCGATATTTCGATGTGTACAGGGGGTTCGAACACACCTGGGAAAAATTTTATTGGGAGATTTTAGGGCCCAAAATAAGACGAAAATCAAAAATATTGATTCCTTGACTGAGGCTTCGTTAAAAATGATTAAAAAATTTCAAATCGTTCTGGAAAAATTATTGTTGGCTACAGGGGTCAATTACAAGCATTTTTTGTAATTAGACTTATCCTCGAAATCCTAACCACTTTGCAGAAAAAAATTCGAGAAGGTATACAATTTTAAAATTGTAAAATTGTAATTTAAAAATTTCAAATCGTTCTAAAAAAAATATTGTCGGTTGCGGGGGTTGATTACAATCATATTTGGTGAATAGACATACCCCCGAATTCCTACCCACTTTCGAGAAAAAAATTCGAGAAGTTATGCAATTTTTTGACAAAATTACAAATTTTCAAATCGTTCTGGAAAAATTATTTTCGATTATGGGGGTTAATTACAATAATTTTTGATGAATAGGAATATCCACGAAATCCTACCCGTTTTCGAGAAAAAAATTCGAGAAGGTATGCAATTTTACGATAAAATTAAAAAATTTCAAATCACGCTAAAAAAATTATATTTGGTTACAGGGGTCAATTATAAGCATTTTTTGTAATTAGACATATCCTCGAATTCCTAATCACTTTAGAGAAAAAAATTCGAGAAAGTATGGAACTTTTCGACAAAATTAAAAAATTTCAAATCAAACTAAAAAAATTATATTCAGTTACAGGGGTCAATGACAAGCATTTTTTGTAATTAGGCATATCCTCGAATTCCTAACCAGTTTAGAGAAAAAAATTCAAGAAAGTATGAAATTTTTCGACAAAATTACAAAATTTCAAATCATTTTGAAAAAATTATTTCCGATTGCAGGGATCAATTACAATAAATTATGGTCATTAGACATACCCTCGAAATCCTACCCATTTCCTAGAAAAAAATTCAAAACGAACGGAACTTTGAATGTTAATAACTTTTTAACGAAGCCTCAATTGAAAAATTACTATTCTTGATTTTCGTCTTATTTTGGCCCCTAGAATCTCCCATTTCAATTTTTCCCAGGGTTGATTGGACACCCTGTATAACTTTCATAGATATTTTTAAATATCTATTTAAAAAAATGAATATACAAAAAATATCTACAATTAAGCGTTTTAATATAATTCAGATAAATGTATTGTCATTTCTACCGAAAATAACGTTAAAGAAATCTCTAATTTACAAAATACATCATATATTAAATTTAAAGAAAACGTGAAATTATAGCGTCGTTGTATGAAAATGATTTAAAAATTGTTCCTCACCCCTGCACGTGTATAACGTCCAAGATTCACGTACGCGTGTATATATTACTCGTATCATTTTCTATTTGTTAAAAGAATAAGAATTAAATATCTTTTTCCCCCGAAAAATATTTCGTTATATTAGTTCATTAGTAGATTCCTATTTTTAGTCTCTAGATTGTCCGCAATCGCCTTTAGAACTATCTACCCTGGATACGAAACAACAATAAATTCCTTGTTAAGAAATCGTCAAGTGTACTCCGGCACCGTTCGTGTATATTTTTTCCATTTCCGCCATTTTTTTTTATTACGAGCCTGGGCCCTATCGCGAAATTTGTACCGATCATTTCGCTGTATATCAAAAAGTATACACCTACGCCATTGCATTAACAATACGAATAAATTTAATCGTAATTCTTATGAATTAGCATAGTATCCCTTTAATTTTTGGTCTCGCTTGTTAACTTACGCCTAAATATTGTCTCGTTAGAAAACTAAATTTCCGTTTTACAAAAAAGCAAAGACACGCCAAGAGTGAAGGACAAATCTCACACTTCTTTCAACGATACTTATACCAAAATTGTCACGATACAGAATTTCTCTCTGGTAATAACACATAAATAGTCCTCGAGTTTAACTATAACTCCACGAGCATTGTAGGAACCTCGACACTGGATAAAAGGCATTTCTATTCGGATATAAAATAATCCACTGTAGGGAAGACTTATTTAAAAATTGCCAAACATTAGAAAAACAAGTGCCAAATGTTTATTTCTGTCTATCAGAGGCTGGCAGTGGCGTAGAACTTGGGAGATTAAAATATCGAGAACGAGGAACTATAAAAGGACGTATGTATCAGTAACCATAAATCGGCATGGGAGAAACGGAGTTAGAAAAGGCACTTATGGTGGTTTCACAGAACCATGAGCTTCGAAAATAAATATACGCACAGCCGTGTTAACTCTACCGATACAAACAGTACAAACTTGAATCCTGATTGTATCGATCTAACTTGGTATAAATATCGCTGAAACAAGCTTCGTTCGTTCTCCACTCTCGTCTCACATTTTCTTCCAAACAAATACTATCTGCCCGCGACACTTACGCAATTTTAACTACGACAATTCCTCAATAGTGAACAACGAAATGCAATTACTTTCAATATCCACCCATACCGTAAAAAAGCCTCTTTCGAAGTCGGAAAGGCATTAAAAAGAACTGTATATTTAAGTATCGAAGCATCGTAAATAAACCTTTTACGTGATCTGTTTTGGGTACATTCGATGCACCCATTTTTTGTCTGATTAATATTTACGAGATTTGTATCTACATCCAGGAACAATGATTTAGAGAAACTTAGAGAGACTTAGAGAAATTTAGAGTAAATTTTCAAGGTTGAAGGGATAAAAAATATTGTAAAAAGTCTGTGTGAAAAATGCGTATAAAAATATTGCAAACTATACTGAATGTAGATACGTGGCGGTACGTATTCGCGTTTTAAATACACCGACTGCACCTTACAAAGCATCTTAAGCTCGTTTGAAAAAAAAAAAAGAAAAATCGTGGTGTGAATTTATAAAACAATTTGAATCTTAGAAGTAAAAAGGAAGCAGTAACGCACACCATTTGCATATTACCTTGTTACGAGCGTATAATAACAAGTTAGTTTTGTGTCGTTGACATGTATCGTTCCTCCGCGAGAAGAACTCTCTTACCGAGGACTGTTGCAGCCCGCTGATTGGTCGTTCTCGACCAATAGCGAGCCAGCGAGCTGCACCAGGAGCGGGGGATGTAAACACTTGCCTTTTTCTCGCGAAAGAACGCTACTGCTCATTTCCTTTAGCTTTAGATATGTACAAATTCGACAGTAAAAACGAACCGTCGTTCGATTCAATTCCGTAATTCCTTTTCCTTTGCGTTTTTATCAGATCCCCCGATCTAAAAACATTAAGTACCTTAACCCCTCAAACCAATGTTTTTTTCCATCAACGGAACAGATTACGTATAAACAATTCAACGAAATAATATTTACTAAACGGTACAACTTAAATCTAAACGCGTAAACTAGAAATTAATATGCGTGTAACCTATAAAGTTTTGTAAGTAAATTATATACAAATAAGTAACTTCTTTCGATATATAATATTACATCCTCTGTACAGTAATACTAATCACGCGAAATCATTCTGTACAACGAAACGATCTGAGGGGTTAATAACATCGCTATTAGGCTAAACACCGTTTAGCCTAAAAACTTATTCCCTAACTAAGAAACTTTTTTATCATCGATCCACCGATTTTGTTTTAGCGGGCCACGGTACGACGAATATTTGCTACACATTTGCTATGATTCATTTATGGTCTCGCGCCAAATTACTATAGATCACGTATCCGCGAAAAATTACGATCGATCGAGACTCGAAGCAAAATTACCAAACATTTTCTTCAATGATTTTCAGTTGATCGAAGGAAAATTTGCGAAACATTCAAACTACTCCAACGTTGTACTCTTGTTATGAGAATGGAATAAATATTTCAAAGACACTGACATATTCGCGTAGAAGGAAATGCAAAATTAATAAAAAATCGATCATGCAGTGGGTTTCTGTTAATTAATATTACAAGGAACGATATATTCGAACGTATATCGAGATTTGGATGAAGTCTTGCGTGTTTAGCAAAATTTCGTAGAAAATAAAATATGCAGTCGAGGAAAAAAATATATAAAAAGAATATAGTAACCTTGACGGTGTTCACAACCGAAATGAGCGAAAAAAGAAAGAGGAGACCATAAATAAATAAATTTGTAACAATGTTGTGTGATCGTACGGCGTTTAGGGCCCCCTGGTGGAATTTAGATTGACTTCCACTGCGGTTTGTGGGGACCCCCCCTTAAATGTCAGGGAGGTCCTCTAGGAACCCACAGCGCTTTGCTTTGCTCCTCGTCCACCGCGGACTTTACCTGCGTACATATGTACGCGACATTTATTCCAGCTGGAATAACAGCTGGAACAAATTAAAAATAAATATCAAACGATGGGGCAAACCTGTATGTAAACAAATTACAATTAAAACATCAACTCACCAGATATATAATGCCTATAATCAGCTTCGAATTTCAGCGCTTGTTCGTACATCTCCTTCGCGACCTTTGCGCTAACTTTGTCGCTTGGATACCTCGAGTCTTTCACTTCCTTGATCTGCTTCGTGCTCTTGAACTTGATCAGCAACACTATAGGATAGATCTGATGCCGATGGAGTCGCTCGATCGATGCGATCGACACGTCCAGGATGCAATGAGTATTCTATAAAATCCACAAAAATTATATAAACTTCTATTTTTTATCCGACCCGTTTAATATAAATAGCGCTATTGATATCGCGCACGGCATTGGCTAAAAAAAATACCTTACCTTCTCGCAGATGTCCTTGACAGCTTGCACTGTGGTGCACTCGAAATAGCTTCCTTTTTTCCTGTAGTCCACGTAAAGCGCGTCGCGTAAGCCCTGCTCGAGCGTCGATTGAGAACAGTGCATGGCTTCAGCGAGACACCTGGTGAACTGTCCTGGAAATTCTTGCAGCAGTTTCGTCACCACGCACTCGCTCAACGGTCCAATGATCAGCACAGGTCTCAGAGCTGGATCTGCACAAAAAAAAAAATTAATTTTCAAGAACTATATAAATTCTTTAAGTTCCAAACGCTTACAATCCAATCTTTCGACACGTTGGTAGCTGGCAGGCAGAGTCTCTTCATTCAGCGTCCCACTGTCGCTGTACCACCCTAAATTGACCCCCGTCAGGTGTGACAATTCTTTACTATCCCTGCTCGAGGAACGCTGATGCTTCTTCCGTCGGAAAAAGCTCCTCCTCGCGCTGGTGCTGCCCCGTCTGGTCGTATCCGTCTCTAAATCGCCCAGCGAACGTCGCAGAAGCAGTTCCTCCTCGACCCTAAAATTACAATATACCTTAAATGTGTTTTAACAATATTAAAAAAATACCATTTCGCTTCCAACTTACTTAAACTTGCTGGGAATTATACCACAGGTCTGTCTTCTTCCGGTGTGATCGACTATCCAGGCCCTCCAGTGGCCTGGAGTACCATTGAACATCGTATTGTCGACGTACAATATATCATCCTTATTAAATCTAAGCTGAAGACTGTCCCCCACTTCCCCCACCCGATCGAACATCGCTTTCACGTAGAAACTGTCGCCAGGTTTATCCTTCACCTCGTTGTACCTCTCAGGTACGTATTGAGCAATCAACGTGACCTTGTCAGCCGGTCTGGCCAGCTCCAAAGCCGCCTGTTCGGCGGTTGCTTGCCTCAGATCCACGCCATTGTACTCTAAAATACGATCACCGGTGCGTAGCCCAGCCTCTTCAGCGAGACAGCCAGGTTGCACCGAATGCACGAATATTCCAACGCCATTGCCACCCACCAGCGAGATGCCCAAGTTCGAGCACTTCCTAGTCTCGATGAACAGGTACCTAGGCTCGCTGGGTGGGGGACTCTTGCGACTTTGTTCCTCTTGCGTTGGACTCCTCACAGTGGCGTTCTGTCTTTGCAACGTGGTAGCCGCCTGATTGATCTGCGCCCGCGTCAGAGTGTTTGCAGTGACGCGCAGCGTGTCCAGGGTCGCCGAATTCCTCATATTGTCTAATGTAGCTGAGCTACGGAGCTCAGGCTTCCTGATATTGATGTCCAAAGACGCGGAAGCTCTGATCTGACGCTCAGCTCGCTCCGACTCCTGCGTACCCCGCACCTCTAAGGAAGCAGAGTTCCTAATGTCCCTCTCTCGAATCGTACGAGGCGGTTCCAAAGTGTTCTTCGTCTCTCGCATGATGGTCAAGGTATTCGAGATATCACGAGCGGTAGTTAAACTACTGGAAGCGTCTCGTTCAGGCTCAGAGCTCTCCAAAGGCTCGATGGTAGTTTTTCTGGGAGCTTCAGGGCTATTGCAAGGAGTCGGTGACCCGCTGCGACTGCCACCCTCGGCGACCCCGGCCTCCGACGAACTCGAAGAAGCAGATCCCTCTAATTCGTTGTATTCTAACACAGGGGGGGGGGAAAAGGAACAGATAAATAGGGTATTACGTCGAGAAGGAACCATGCAATTTAACAATGAAAGGTGCAGAAAATGTAAAGTGCGTATGTAGTGGGAGGGATAGATATATATATACTACTCGTTCTAATAATCTGTACTCACTGTCCGGACTATACTGCACCAGCATCGTAATGGAATTACCGCACTGACGCAACACGTTCGCAGCCAGCTGATAGGTGGCGCTCCTCATGTTGATCCCGCAGACCTCCAGCAGCTGGTCGCCGATCTGCAGACCGACCTGGGACGCCAGACTGTGCTCGCTGACGGTGGACACGAACACCCCGCCGCTCTCCAAACACGAGATTTGGATACCTAACGGCTCCACCGATTTGTCTATGTGCACTCTGCGCAGCTCCCCGGGTGCTGGCCTGTGCTGAGAGTAACAGTAATCCGGCATGCTGGACCGTTTGTTGGTGCTGCCACCTCTGATCGTTCCGCCGGAGCTACTACCGGCGCCGGTGCCCGGGCTGAGCACTTCCACGTGGAACGTCGGCATCGGGCTGCCTCTTTCCGACGTCCTTTCGATGCTCCCCGTGGACAACTTGCCCACGCTGCTCTTGGACGTCACGCTGGGATTCGATGGTATACGAAAACGTTGGTTCTCCTTCTTTCTTGGGAACGTTCCGCCTTCGTAGCCGTGCGTATAGGCGGTCACGTCGTATGCGGTTGCGATCGTCGGAGCGCGTGGCTTGTGATAATGCAAATCTACGGAGGGTGTGTGCAAATGCCCGTATCCTGTTTGCGGGCCGGGGCTATACGAAGGTTCGAAACAGTAAGATCGTGCATCGGGAAGTCCTATCGACTCCCCAGACTGTGCAGACGGCAAAGACGGCGGGGATGGATATCTCAAAGGCAGAGAGTTCTGTTGGTGGGGATGCGGATGCGAATGCGTATAGGGAGGAAATGAAAAATTACCAGTTAGCTGCTGCCTGGTGCCGCTGGTCGACGACGTGGACGATCCGGCCCCGGAGTATAGCTGCGATTGCGCTCTATTATGCTGCAACTGCTCTACTTGGCTGTCGTTGCTAGCGTTATACTTTTGCGGCCTCTTCCTCGAGAAATATTCTACGTCTTTGCCGGTGGCCACCGACTTCACGGAAAAGTCGATGCTAGTTTCGGACGGCGTCAGCGTTGAGCTCAATCTGCCGTCCGTGTTCTCGAACTCCGTGCTCGGTTTCTTATCTATCGGTATATCTTTGAACTGCACCACTGGAGTAAAGGATTTCTGACTAAATAACTGTCCGGTCTTAAGGAAATTTGGTAACGGTTTCTCAACAGACTTATATACGGTATGCCGGTTGTTCACGTTGGAGAAATTGGTCAAAGGGATGGGATTCGAAATACGATTATAATTATAACTTTCATACTTGGGCGGTTGATTAAGGAGTACACTCAAGGGCAGCCTCTCTTTAGTCTTACGTGGATGTAAAATAGTACCGGTACCATTCTGTATCAGAGGACCGCATCTGGCCTTCGGCCACGTACCTCCGTTTTTCTCAACCTTCTCGGTTTCCCGTTCCTTACTGCGTTTCAGTACCCCGTTATTCGCTTTCTTGTGATAGCTCTCGATCACCGAATCTAACTCCGCGATCGCGTCTTGCTCCTGCTCGAACGTGTTTGGGCTGGAGTTACGGTGACGTTTCTTCTTCTCTTCGCGATCCTTGCTGTGCTTACGTCCGCGTACTATATCGATCTTCTCGCGTATGTTGTCCCAAGCGTGGCTGATACCGCTCGGTTTCTCGCCGCTCACCGATTTCGACACTTTGTAAACACTCCTGTCACCGAAATTCGACGCGATGTATCGCCTGTCGTAATCGTCCGAGACAGCTTTCAACATCAATCGTTCTTGCTCTGTTTGAGAACAGCTGTTCACCATTTTCTGCTTCTCCGTGACGAAACTGCCGTCGATGGTCATCGTTTCGGAACTGGTCGCCGTGGGTAACGGTATCCCCTTCAAGGTCGTGATAGTTAACACGTCTGAACTCGTGTCGTTTAAAATTGCCATCGCTTCTAGACTCGAATTGATACCTTCCATCGCTTTGCTATTGATCTAAATAAGAAAATTATCAAATTGAATTTGCCATAAAGGGTACAGCCGAATAAGGGGGTCAAATGTGACATACGATGGATCCATCGATAGAGCATCAAGAATAAACGTTCTGTGCCAAATTTTAACCCTCTATCTTGTTTGGAAGGGTAGTTATTGAGAAAATTCGGATCATCGAATTTGTGCCTATTTTCCCTGTTTAATCGAGTACGAAAATTATGAAAAAAATCTGGCGCATTGCGGTTATTGAGATACGCGTTTGAGAATTTTTTCCGATTTTTCCATTCCAAATCCTAGGTGTGAAAAATTGAAAACGCAAAAAAACACAGAAAAATACGGATTTCGTATTGAAGCTTTCGAGACACTAGATTTATATAATTACTGTGAATGCGTGTTGTCATTGGCTATCTCCCTGAATTTTTTCAGATTTTTTGCTAGGGTGCGTCGTAGTAGCAAAAATCAAAAACCGATTTTTTCGACGTTTTTAAATTTTCAAGCCTAGGATTTGGAATCGAAAAATCGGAAAAAATTCTCAAACACGTATCTCAATAGTCGCAATGCACCAGATTTTTTTCATAATTTTCGTACTCGATTAAATAGGGAAAATGGGCACAAATTCTTTAATCCGAATTTTCTCAATAACTACCCTTCCAAACAAGACAGAGGGTTAAAATTTGGCACGGAACGTTTATTCTTGACGCTTTATCGATGGATCCATCGTATGTCACATTTGACCCCCTAATTCGGCTATACCGTTTAAAGCAGAAATATTAAAACCGTAAAACGTACATTTAAGACTCTATCCCCAACAGCAAGGTTCCCATCCTTGGCAGCTAGACTGCCAGGAGATATCTTCGAAATGTACACTCCAAGTTCCAACGAAATTCCATGGGGAACCGAGCCAACCGGTAACTGCGTGGTCCTCAGCGATCTTCTGGTCACGCGACGTCGTCTAACCGTCAAAGTAGCCGATCCCACAGAACTGGTACGCAAGGTTTCCATGATTATACGCGTGGAAACCGCTGTGCAATCGACGTTGTTCACCCGCATAATGCAATCGTTGACTCTCAATTTACCATCGATAACGCTACCGGTCGTTACTTGAGCAACATACACCCCCGTGTCGTTCGGATAATACGGATTGTCGCGACCTCCGACCAACGTCAGCCCCAAGTCGCGGTCGGTGTCCAAACAGAGGCGACTGAGATCGAAGTGAACAGTGAGGATCTCCCAATCGTTGACGTCCGTGTCGATCGCCGAATCGTGAGCATGCGTCAAGCCCTGCGCGTACTGGCTCGCTCGTAACGCGTGATCGCCAGACTCTATCTTCTCTTTGAGATCCTTCAGCTCCTTCGACGCCTCGTTCCGTTGCTTTTTGATGTCGTCGGAGTCGCGTAAAGCACCAGCCAGATCCGACACCGCGCGATCCCGTTCCTTCCTTAATCTATCACATAAAGTTCTAATACTTTCTCTCTCCAAGACTATTTTATCCCTTTCGCTGAACGCCCAGTCTCTTCTCCGTTTCGACACCTCCGCCTCCTGAAGCGCCTCCTCCAGCTCCGTCTGCAACTTATCTACAGATTTCCTGAGTTTGTCCAGCTCCAAGTTCGCCTGATCCAAGTTCTCCATACGCTCTTTGTCCCGTTTCGCGTAATCCGCCGTATTATTTTCCCGCTCCGCCTCTTTGCTCGAATTGTCCCGCTCGCGATTATACGAGTGTAATTCCATACGATTCTTGTAATCTCTGTTTGATCCTTCGGAATAATCGCCGAACTTCTGACGTAGCTCGTTGCACTGCTTCAGAGCCTCGTCCCGGTCTTGCAACGCGGATGAAATTTCTCTTCGTAAGGTCTCAATTTGATAGGATAAAGCTTTTTTCTAAAAATAAAACCAAGTGGATATTAAAACACCGAACGTTCATTTAAAAATAGTGCGTACAGTGGCAAGTAACACGGCGGTGTATAAATAACTAAAAACCAATATAAAATGTACAAGAAGGAAACAGTACCGTTGAAAGTTCATAGATTTAATCCAGATAATAAACTACCTCGTCCATCAGTTGTTTATTCTGGTTCTCCAAATGCGTGATCTTCGTGTACGCTTGCGTGAGATCGTCACCGAGCTTTTCCATCTCCTTGTGCACCGTGTCACGCTCGCCCATGATCAAACTGTACTCTTGCAAAGCGGCGTTCCTTTCCTCCGTCAATCGTTTCATATCCTTGCTGGCCTTCATACGTAGCACCATCGCGTGATTGATTTCCTTCACAGCCTCTTCGTGTTGTTGCTGCACCTTAGCCAGGGCCTCGCGATACTCGTTCCTCTCCCTCAACGCGATGTCCCATTGCCTGATCGCAGCGGTGCACTGTTGTTTCAAACCGTTTCGTTCACGAACCACGGTATTACGCTCTTGAACAACATCATCGTACTGTTTTTTTAATCTTGCTGCCTCTTCTTGCGACAGTTCCAACTATACAAGCAAAATTTTAGTAAATTTTATTTCTTGCGTACCAGAAAGAAATTAATATTCTAATACTTGCCTTGTTCACGGCCGACGAATGCGACGAGATTAGGTCGTCGTACCGTTTCCTAAGAGCATCGTACTCATCTTTAACAGCTTCATATTTCCGAAGCGCAGATAAATAATGTTGATTCATAGTGTCGCTGTTACCAGTATCAGAAACAAGAACTTCTTGGTTCTGACACCGTAACTCTGACACCTCCTTCTGCAGCGCTTGAACCTCCCTGTCGTTTACTAGATCTCCGTATTTGCCCCGCAGCGCGGTGCTCTCCTGCGCCGTTGCCTCTAACTGATTCATAACTGGTATGTGTTGTCCTCGATAGTATTCCAATTCCTTTATAGTATGTTCACACCTGCGTTTCAAATTCCTTCGTTAAATGATACATCTCACTTATCCAGACGCAGGTTGGTTTAGCGTAGAAGATAAAACACGATAGCACAACACAGAAAAGCGATACCAGTTTAAACAAAAAACCAGGACAAACCGTCTTATATTATCGGTGTGCTTATGCCTAAGTAGCTGAAGCTGATGCATGGCCTGATCGCACTGTGTTTGCAAACCTTCGTAATCGCTACGACATTCAGGACCACCGACAGGACTTCCGACACTGCCGTAGCCTCCACTATCTCTTTCTGCATGCCGCACATGCAAATTATGTCCAACAATGCACATTGCGAAATAATAAACACAACGTGATTAAATGTAAAAGCACAAATCAATATCTGGATACGATAAAATGTGTACGAAATTAAAACTAACCATTCGTGTGCTAACAAATGTTCAATTCTCTAAGAGCACACACATATCTTGATAAGAAACACAAAAACAGTAAAAGTGATGTAAAATAAACTCTTAAAAGGAATAAAACAACATTAATACACAATATATTCTTCGTATCTCTTTCATTAGTAATTATCTTACCCATATTGAGTGCCCCATCTGCAAGAAAACACAAAAATTTAATCGCGTCGAAACACACAATGCAGAATACAGAATACAGAATACAGAAATGAAATGTCTATATTTGCACGATGTGCAGTGGTGTTGTTACAATTGGTGGAACAATATAATCAGATGTTTTGCCAGCTTTCACCAGGAAAGAAACTCTATGTCACGCATGTAAGCATCATGATTCACTGTTTTTTGCAAAGTGAAATTATAAGTGGTACTTAAATTACGATATACAACAATTTGATCAAACAGAGAAGTATAAAGATTTTATCGCATATATCGCAATTTCTTTGTTTTACAAAGCAATGGAAAATTACTTTTTGGCAGTTTACGAGAAGTATTTTAGTATTATAAATGTATGTATTTTTTTTTTAGTTTTGGTAAGTGGGAAACTACTGTCACATCATTTCCAATGTCGTTTAATTTAAATAGGTCAAGCATTGTGGTTTCATTTGTTTGTCTAATAGAAGTATTAGAGAATTAAAAACTCACCACTACTTCCAGCACTATCCAAGGAAGACGCGCCAGAAGCCATGCTCTTGATTCACCGAGGATCTACCACAAATACTTCTCTAGCAAGGTACGTGCTAGGTATTGCCTGGAAAGTATCCATGCGCTGTACTTCACGGAAGAGCGAACCCTTTGTGAATTACTAAGAAGTAGCCTTCGGGATGACATTACGGCTATGGTCTAAACGGTGCATGGCGCTCATCAGAGGGATGCAACAGTGCACCTGGCACACATACACACACACAGCGGCTCTTACTCCAATACAAACACGTGTCCTCGTAATATCGAGACTTTTCATGCATCACTGTTTTCCGCGCGGTTACTGGTACGGGAGAAACAACGGGTGGACGTATGTTTTCTGAATGGACGTAATAAATTAATCTACGTTTTGCTGATGTGTCTCAATCTCGAGATCGCGTCGCATCCGTTTTTTTTTCCCCCCTGTCAACAAGCGAGGTTATCGATCCTCGTTTAAGAGCGGCACGGAAGAGTAACGATCGCCGGCTGACTCGTTCCTAACAAATTGAAAACTCGTTATCATTGCGGGCACAGAAAAAAGAAAAAAAAAAAAAAAAAAAAAAGGAGCCAACAAGCCTTTCAGCGGTGATCTCGATCGCGCACCTCCTTGGATAATCCATTAACTCGTTCGACAACACTGAAACCGACGCAATTTCCACTGACTTTTATAGTTCTGATCGCCGCGAACTGCGCACCGTTCATCCCGAAGCGACTAATGTCCCGATATTAACGATAATTGATCGCTCACCTGCTGCACCAACGGACCTGACAATTAGCCATTTTCATTCCGCCACTACAGTCTGTTTCGCATTGTCGATAATAAACATACTTCGTGGACGAGCTTGTTACTGAGCGTTACGGCGCTAGTATCAGAGGAAGAGGCACAGTCACGGACTAGCTACAGAATAGACCTATCGTCCGCCATAGAATTCCGTCTCACTTACGCTCGGCCGGCTAAGTAGTTCCCTTACCATTACCGACCGCGCGCGACGTTACCAACCTGGAATGAAACGAGACCACAGCGCTGACCGGCAGGAATTATAACTAAATGCAACGATAGACTCTTGTTACAATTTTGATATCAAATCGATCATGGATTTAGAATGAAATTAGACTATAAATCCTATCGACTATGGGAATTAACACTTTACCGACCGGTACCGATTGACCCTAGATTATATATCTACTTTTTCTTATAAGAATGTTAAATGAAACTTTGCGACAGTGGTTACTATATTGTTCTCTTTCTGTAATTACAGGGTAATTAAATCCAGTGATATTTGTTATTTTCATGACAACCGATTAATAAGCTACCCGGTCGGTAAAGTGTTGAGCGGTAAAAAACTGATTTATCGGCTATCGGTCGGTAAAAAGTCGATTAATAGGCTACCGGTCGGTAAAGTGTTAAAACTAAATGTGGGGAGAGCTGAAGAAGGAGAGAGAAGTATTTGTAGTAAACAACGCGAGGAGGATCGCAGCCATTAGCTCATATTATTTGCTATGTAATTAATTACTAAATAATTATACCGATGAAATTAATTACATGGCAAATAATAATCCCCAGGTCTCACCTCGTGGAGGTTGCTGCGAGTGGAGACCCACCCTAGCCTCGCCCCAACCACCCTTCCTTTTGGCGAGGAATCCTAACAAACACCTATGGATGTTTTCTACGAGAAAAACGATCGAAATTTGACCGTTGCTAGAAGCAAATAACGAAGAGAGAGTTTACAGGAAAATTGTCTGAGAGAAAGACAAAACACCTATGAAAATGTCGACACACGTGTGATCAAAATCACCACGTGTTTTCTAATGATGATTATTAGGATACAAATATGTATCTTGATGTGAATTATTCCTTTTTAAATAGACGATAGTGTCTTATGAGACACTGAAGAACCAAGAAATGTGCAACTGCACGTGTGAACCTCGCATGTTGGAATACTCATATGTCGCTTAATATTAATTATAATTAAACGCCGCTGATTATAATACGTGTTTGATGGGTTGTCTTATAATGTACGTACGCACTTACAGTCGATGTTAAATACGCTATACATGACGTAGATCGCTTATATTCTAACGCAATTTGTGGAAATAATCTTCTTGGTGTCTTCTTTAATTCCACGATGCTTTCCTAAAACATAACCTCAAATACAATTAATATAATTTAAACAAAACAAAAAATATGAGATATTTTCTTTTCTTGAAATCTTCATCGATCCCACGATGTTTCCCTGAAACAAAAATTCGGAGAATAAATAAAATTGTATAAATAAATATTTCCCTAAAAACGATCGAATCCATGTACCAATTTCATTCTTCTAAACTCTGTAATCAGAACTAATTCAGAGGATTAGAAGCTGAAATGAAAATGTATTAGTGCACAGAAAAAAAAAATAATTATAAGATCATTGATCATAGAAAAATTTTTATGAAATTAATATTTAAATTAGACTTTCCACGAGTCAAAATTCATATTGAAAAATTTAGAAATATTAAATATTAAGAAAAGTTAAATTCGTATCAGTTTTGAGATAGATTTTATGGAACAAAATTTTCAAAATGTATGAAACTAATATATTATAATTTATTAATATATATTATAATTTAATTGCATTGAGAATTAAGTTAGGTTCGTACCAAAAATGTAATAACGAACACAAAAATTAACTCTCATGAAATATCGAATTGTAATTTGCGTACACTTTTCGAGCAAGCATTTTATTTTTCATGAATTAAAAAAATAATCGCGATCAAACTTTAATCTATGCAACGAATTCTGAATATTTATAAAAAAATCCACTATTTATACATAAATATTGCGAAAGGTTACTATACCCCGTAAAAATGAACAACTCTAATAATAAATAATTGCTGATATATTGAAATCGTGAATTTAGTCTATGATCAATTTTTTAAATCAAAAATGTATGAATACATAAAAATTATGAATTCATAAAGATTACAAATTTTTACACGTTATAAAAAATGAAAAAATTTGATCTATAAATAATAGTATTTTTTAGCAGTATTTCCATTGGCAAATAAATAAAAAAAAAGACATATTTTACATAGTAACAATAAATTGGCCACTCATAAATTCAAAAAACAACCCGTGAGTGGCTTTTTTCGCAACGCTAATTTATAAAATAGAAAAATATACGCGAGTGGTGCTCATTATACGTAAAATAAACTACAAAGGGTTGTTTAATTAATTATATCGCGTGCACCCATATTGAACAACACGCAACACTAATTTTAATAATTTCGTTGAGTCTTCTGAGGCTTTGTAGAATCAGCTGCATCTTGATTTTGTTGCAGCAGTGGCCAGCGTGAAATTTTGGGCAATAAATCGCAACACTAATCAATAAAAACGCGATGAATCAAAATCGCAACTCTAATTTACAATAGAAAAATTCCAAACGCGATTTCTAACAACAAAAGCAACCGCGAATGGTGATTATTCGCTACACTACCCTGAAAAGTAAACGCGAAAAATAGTAATTCGCAACGCTAATCGCAAACCGATCGGTGCATTCGCGACACTATTTTTAAATAACAATAAAAGCAATCGCGTATTCGCAACACTACCCTGAAAAGGATACGCGAAAAATAGTGATTCGCGACACTACAAACAAACGCGATTATTATGTATTCGCGACTCTATTTTTAATGAAAATATTATACAGGGTGTTCAGGTAACCCTGGGAAAAATTTTGATGGGAGATTCTGGGGGCCAAAATAAGACGAAAATGAAGAATAGTAATTTTTAAATTGAGGCTTCGTTAAAAAGTTATTAACGTTCAAATTTGAAGTGTGCAGTGTGCACGGTTGCCGACTCGCAGGCGCAACTTTAAACGTTAATAACTTTTTAACGAAGCCCTATTTTGGAAATTGGTATTCTTGATTTTCGTCTTATTTTGGCCTCTAAAATCCCCCGTTACAATTTCTCCCACGGTTGACTGAACATTCTGCATTTATGCTAATATACTCGCAACGCTAATGAAAATCGCGATTTGCCCAAAAATACTGGCTCTAACGCTGGTTTCTTCAGTGGTGGATACAAATACACATGCATAAAATAAACTAACTACTTCAAACTACAATAGAGTGGCACATAAGGGATGAAGCTAGACATTTTAAATAACGCAACGCTAAGGGGGGCAAACAACGCGATAAATCAGCAGTCGCAACGCTAATTTATAATAGAAAAATTCCAAAACGCGACTTGCAACAACAAAAGCAATCGCGAATGGTAATTATTCGCAACGCTACCCTGAAAAGCAAACGCGAAAAATAGTGATTCGCTACTCTACAAACAAACGCGATCATTGTGTACTCGCGACTCTATTTTTAATGAAAATATTATACAGGATGTTCAGGTAACCCTGGGAAAAATTTTGATGGGAGATTCTGGGGGCCAAAATAAGACGAAAATGAAGAATAGTAATTTTTTAATTGAGACTTCGTTTAAAAGTTATTAACGTTTAAAGTTGAAGTTTGCAGCGTGCACGGTTGCCGACTCACAGGCGCAACTTTGAACGTTAATAACTTTTAAACGAAGCCTCAATTTGGAAATTGGTATTCTTGATTTCCGTCTTATTTTGGCCTCCAGAATCCCCCATTACAATTTTTCGTGTTTAATCGCAAAACTGGACATATCAACGCGATAAATATTCGCAACTCTACGAGCAAACGCGAACATTGCACATTATTCGCAACTCTAACTTTAATTAGGGGTTAATTGTACATGTAAATTCACATGTACTGGCCACAAAATAAACTAACTACTTCTATTACTACAATTGAGGTAGAATTTGGGCATTGAAAATGTCGCAAAGCTAAATAAAAAATCGCAACGCTAATTTATGATATGAAAATTGCAAACGCGGTTGATGTCCATTATATATGTATAAAAGAGTAAAAAAGCAACGCGAATCGTGACTGGTCGCAACGCTACCCTGAAAAGAAAACGCGAAAAATGGTAATTCGCAACTCTACGAGCAATCGCGTTTATCATTAATTCGCAACGCTATTTTTAAAGCAAACGTTTGATGTTTGCATAAAACCAATCGCGTATCGTGTCAAGGAGCAACACTACTCTGAAAAGTAAACGCGAAAAATCAGAATTCGCAACTCTACAAGCAAACGCGATTATTGGATATTCGCAACTCTATGTACATCATAACCGCGAGTTATGGGGGATGGCATGTATGGTGCAATCATGTACCAAAGTACATGCATACGTGAGCCAGAAAAATAACAACAAAACTACTGACGAGATAAGTGACAAAGTAGTAACATTAATGACTTTCCATCCTCATTCGAAAATGAGGATGAAGAGACATTCGTTGCAGCCCGCTCTTGAGACAGTTTGTCAGGGCCTCTTCGACTCGAATCGAGTCTCTTCTTTTCTTCGGCGGTCCTGCCAAAAGCCTGAAACTTAATACTAGGCTCAAGCCACTCCGTGCAATACGAGACCTCCAACAGTTCCGAGGAACTGTTATCGGAACACGTATGGAGCAACTCGAGCGGGACGAGCGTCTCGAGGGGAGGCTAGCCGCGACCGCGAGCGCGAAGAGCGACTTAAAAGATCGCATCGATTACAAGAATGGAAAGTTACGCGCCAAAACAGACGGTGAAAACCGTTTGAATCGGCTGGGGACTTTTCCAACTCTCGAAATCGTAACTAAGGTGCAGGACTGCCACGCGAAAACGCGC